TTGAACTGAATGCAACACATGACTGGATCAGAACATCTCCAGTTCTGTAGGTCTGTGGGCGTTCTCAGTCTGCAAGGGGAGGGAACTATCAGAGCCATCCAAGGAAGGGGCGGCACTGACACAGTGACAGTGTCATGTGTGTTGAAGAGCGCTGCGTACAAAGCAGGAGAGACATTTTGTCAGGTCACCACTAGGGATGGGTATTGATAAGATTTTCACGATTCCGATTCCATTTTCGATTCTGTTTAACGATTCGATTCTCTTATCGATTCTTTTTAAAAAAGGAGAACACTAAGGTAGATTAGCTTAGAACTTTGTGTTATAGTTTCTCTTTGAACAAGATAGAAATTTAGGAGTAACATGGCCTTACAAACCCAACAGTGAGATCTTAAGAGATCCACAGCCTACGGCTCTTCAATGGGTGTCACAGGGTACCCAGGAAAAAAAATTGTAAATGTAAAATAATAAAATAAATATTCTTCTGTAGCAATAACAAAGTATAACATAAATTATTCTGTAGCAATTACACAAGAATATCCAGTAATGTCCCTGCCTACAATTAAACACATTCACTTACCTAAAATCGGGGCATCTGCTGTGGCAAATGGGTTCAAGCCTTTTACCATAAACTTAGTCACTGCTCGGTGACATTCGTCTATCCTGGCCTGAAAGGAGACGCTAACGGTAGACTGCAGCAAGAACTGCCAGCATCTGAGCCAGACTCTGTCTGTCTCTCTCATCATGGTCACCTAAATGCACAGTAATGGCAGGTTTTGTAATAAGGCAGATCGGACTAACATAATATGCACTGTTAGTTGATTATTTACCTGCCGCATTCCAGACTTTTACTTGTAGTTGTGAAAGTGTGTTATCAGAACTGAGCAGAGGGGGCGCTGTGATCTTTATGTTCCTGTGTGTCCAAACACAGCTTCATAACATCATTAGTTAAACGTGGGTTTAAATTTTTGAATTTCAGAATTCATTTTCTTTAAAAGATGAAAGATGAGAAATGAAATTTGCTACTGCTACTCAGCTGATTTATATCCTTATTCTTTCTGCTGCAGCAGCTGGCCAATCAGAGCTCCAGCTGCTGATCGGCAGGAATTTTTCGTCACATCTCTTAATTAAAGACGGTCGTCTCTGGATCAAAACATCACAAACAGGGAACTGAGCGTGATGTTGGAGGAAGAGATGAATGAATGGTGACACAGAGTCACACATCACACATTTTATCTAATCGCGATATGTTTGTAAACACATCTGAGGGCTCGATTGTACCTGAGGAGACACTGGACAGCTTTGTCCTGGTTAATGCTGAGAACCTTCAGAAAGTTTTCTCCACAGTGAGACCCACCACATGTCTTGTAGATCCAATCCCTTCTTCACTCTTTAAAACACTTTATGGATTTTTTGAGGCTGAGCTTTTATACATGATGAATTGCTCTCTTCAGTTGGGTGTCTTCCCTGCTGCCTTTAAAACGGCGGTGGTGAGGCCCCTTCTGAAGAAGAGCAATTTGGATTGTAATGATTTTAATAACTACAGACCTGTATCCAACTTACCATTTTTAAGTAAAATCTTAGAAAAACTTGTTTTTACTCAGATTAATGATTTTCTAAATGATAGACAGATCCTGTAGATATTCCAGTCTGGATTTAGGGTGAACCACAGCACAGAGACTGCTCTCCTAAAGGTTTTAAATGATCTTAGATGTAACTGGGACGCCCAAAAGCTCTCAGTCCTGGTGCTACTGGATCTAAGCGCAGCCTTTGATACAGTAGACCACGCTATTCTTTTAAACAGACTGAAACACATGGTGGGCCTCTCTGGTGCTGTACACAAGCTGGTTCACTTCCTGTCTCTCTGACAGACTTTTATGGTGAGTATGGATACATGCTCCTCTAAGATCCATAGAAATGACATGTGGTGTGCCTCAAGGGTCGGTTCTAGGCCCTGTACTTTTTAATTTGTATATGTCTGCCTCTCGGCAGTGTCATCAGGAGGCATGGAGTGAACTTCCACAGTTACGCTGATGACACGCAGCTGTACATCTCCGTGTCTCCTGATGACACCAGACCAATGGATGCCCTTTTTAACTGTATCTTAGATATACGATCTTGGATGGCAGAAAACTTTTTACAGCTTAACCAGGACAAAACTGAAGTTTTAATTGTCGGTCCTGAGGCTCAGAGAGAGAAACTCTTGTCTAAATTAGAGGCATTTTCACTATGTCCTTCGCTACAAGTGAAAAACCTGGGTGTTATTTTTGACTCTGAGCTTGGTTTTATCCCACATGTTAAACATGTAACCAAAATTGGATTTTATCATCTAAAAAATATAGCCAGAGTCCGCCCTATTCTCTCTCGGGCCAACACGGAGATGCTGATGCATGCTTTTATTACCAGTCGCATTGATTACTGTAATGCCCTGCTCTCTGGTCTTCCTAAGAAGAATATTTCAACTTTACAACTCTTGCAAAACTCGGCAGCTCGTGTGCTGACGAAGACCAGAGGGCGGGCCCACATTACACCGGTTTTAGAATCGCTGCACTGGCTCCCCGTGTGTTTCAGGATCGATTTTAAAGTTCTTTTATTGGTTTTTAAATGTCTTAATGGTCTTGGGCCTTCTTATCTCTCAGATCTGCTTTTACCATACGAACCCTCGCGGACCCTGAGGTCCTCTGGTACTGGCCTTTTGATTGTCCCTAAAGTCAGGACACATACTCACGGAGAGGCAGCTTTTCAGTGGTATGGTCCTCGTCTGTGGAACAGCCTGCCGGAGGAGCTCAGGGCCGCAGAGAACGTACATGTTTTAAGAACAGGCTCAAGACCCACCTTTTTAATTTAGCTTTTACTTAGCGTTTATTTATTTTATGCTTATTTATTCTATCCTGTTATTCTATTATTAATTTAGGTTTACCTAATATTTAGCTTGATTTTATTCTTATTCATTTTTTAATCTTCTTACTCATTTATATTTATATTTATATTGTATCCTGTTCTTATTTATTTTATCATTTTAGCCTGTATATACTATTGTGTCATATCTCCAGTGTTTCCTCGGAGGGCGCTCTCTGCACCGGGGCTGTGATGACCGTGGCTGCTGGGTCTCTGGGGTCCTCTCAGCCTGGCTGGGGGGCTCCTTTGCCTCCCTCCGTGCTGTGTGCCCAGCCTGGAGGCTGCGGTCTGTGACCGGCTCCCGGTGCAGACGGCTCCCTGTTATAGTGTTTCCTCACTTGGCTCATGCGAGTCCCAGCCCAATTTTTACTCTTTAAGTGTGCGCGTGTGTGTATGTGTGTGTGGGTGGGGGGGATATAGTGTGTATCTTTATGTATGAGAGTGTGGGGGGTGAGTGGGGGAGGGTGGGGGGGCTGCTTTTAACTATGTAAAGCACTTTGTGCTACATTTTCTCTGTATGAAAAGTGCTTTATAAATAAAGATTGATTGATTGATTGATTCTGACTTGAGCTGCATTAAATCCTCCTCTCATTTAGTCCCATTCATTTCATTGGTGTGTAAAATCCTGTATTTCCATCCCAAAGTTTAGTCCTTTGTTTGGTTCAGAAGTATCGTTTTCCTCTCAAGTCTAAAGTTGAACCATCTGAACTTCTGAATTCAGTCCCAGAGTTTGTTCTTTTTCAATCAAGAAAGAAAGTGTGTGAAGGTCAAAGGGTTAAACGGTCGAAGAGATAAAGAAGGTAGACAGGAGTAACGGGATGTTGAAAGCCAGGCTTTCACACGACTGAGCTTCTTTTCAGTCTCTTGAAAGGAGAAGAAAATCCCAGGCCTCATGTCACCAAGTGCTCACTCAGGGCGAGAGCTCCATTTACTCCTATCAGCAGAGAGAGAGGAGGCAACGCTGTGCTGTAAACGAATGTTATTGAGAATTTCAGTATCTCAATAAAAACCTGCTCTCTGCTTTCAGGAAGGAAATAAAACAGGAGTTCTATAATAAAACAGTGACGTCATCCTCTCTGTAACCCGACACTCACACACTGCACCGCCAGAAAGAAAATAATCTGTAAAAAGATTAAAAAAACACATCCATTAAATACAGGTGATCTACTTCTTAACTGTTTTCATGGCAAATTCGTTTTTTCCTATTTAATTCCCACCAATGCTTCTGCTGCAAATTTATCATAAACAACAGAAGTAATGAAGGTTCACAGACTCAGTAAAACATCATGTCAGTGTTACAGGATAAAACATCCACAGCAGTGTGATTTTTAATTCATTAAAAACAAAACCTGATGCTATGTCAGCCTCTAGCTTTGCTTGACAGTGTGTTAAACAAACCTGATAACATGAACTCCCAGAAAACCTACAGTGACCCAAACACATGGTTATTACAGGAAACACTGCAGTCATTCCTCTCTGTGTTTGGCTTTACAAACTGATTTATTGTGAGCAACACGGATGTTACTGTTTCACACAATATTATCATCAAGATGTGGTGATAGCCAAATTGTCCAGCAGGTGTCACTGTGGAGGCGGTTTCAGGTCGTCTCGAAGCTTCGATACACTTCTACCAGCACTACTCCACAGCTGGCGCGCTCTCTCTCTCTGCGGGGAAACAACACCAGGGCTGCTGCACAGAGGAGATGACAAATGAGTAATCTTTGAGGCAACAACAGGAGAGCAGACTTACAGATGGGAGCTGGTTCACTAGCACGGTTAGAGGAGGAGGGTGAAGGTCCTGGATCCTGGATCCAGCAGGCCTGGTTAAAGAAACAAACACAAAAACACTACATATTCATACTGAGAGAGAAATGGCAGCGACACACAGCAGGCCTGGAGGACCATGACACACACGCACAGGCGAAGGATTGTCTGCTGTTTCTTTGTTGCGGGGAGGAAGAATAGGAAGAATACCTTTGCCCTAGAGGTCTTTGCTTTTGTGAGGACCAAAAGAACTGAACTGATGGGAGATGCACAAGGAAAGGGGCTCAGGTCCACTGTGAGGTAGCATCACTCTGACAGCTGAACCTGAAATCACTGTCTCTGTTCTCAGCTGATCAAGTTCATTCCTGATTCTCTTCTGTGATTGGCTGAGCTTCAGGCCTTCTCTCAGTGCACGTTTCCATGTCGGGGTGTAGGTGGAGCTTTGTGTGTGCCGCAGCAGCCGCCTCCAACCGGAGCGCTCGGGCGTGAAACTAGGAGGAAAGCCGACGTCCTCCTCTTTCCTCAGAAGTGATCTGTGGCCGGCCGGACTTCATTCCACAGATGTGCTTTAACAAAGTGTGAAGCTGAACTCTGAGCTGTGACAGTGAAGCAGTGTGAGAGTGTCAGTAGATGATCAGCAGAGGAAAGTGAAGCTGCTGTGAGCTGATGTCCTGAAGGGCTTTTAAAGAGTCTCTGAGTTTGACAGGAACATGAAGATGTTTGTGGTGTTTGTGATCCTCCTGCACGGTAAGTACACCTTCCTCTCTCTGCTCTCATCATCAGCTTTTCTTTCATCTCTCTCTCTTTAATGTGTTGAAGTGCAGCAGGAGGAGATTTCCATCAAACACTGGATTCTGATTCAGATCAAACTAACAATCCAAAGCAGCAACTTTCAAATCTCTGGATTCTTCTTGGTGCCTTTCAGATGAGCTCATGTTACAATCAGCTGCTGTGTGTGTTGTTGTGTAGCTCTGTGCCTCCCATCGTCTATGGACATTTAAATTCTCATGAGTGGATCAGGAAGTCTAGTAAACTGTGATTATTATTATTTTTTACAATAGTTTCAATACAACTTGTCACGGTCTGGCTAGGGCAGACCGTATGTTGCAGGGAAGGACTCAAGCGCAGACCGAAATGAGGTATGAATAACAAAACAAGCCGTTTATTAAGGCAAGAAACGAGGGTACAAAATAATAGGGAATCGATGAAAACTAAACAAAGACCTAAACTGGGTGAACTAAAACGAAACATACAAAACTCTAAACATAACAAACTGACAGGGATACCTGGAGCCGAGACATGGATGAGCAGTACAACAGACGAATACAACGGACCAGTACAACGGACGACCTGACAAAGAATGACTGAGAACACACAGACTAAATGGACACAGGAAGATAATGAGGGAAGTGGCAACACCTGGGGAAACAGCTGGCACACATGAACATAATGACGTCACCGTGGGAGAGTAAAACTGAACATGATGAACACAGACACACCAGACCTCTTCACAATAAAACAGGAAACATAAAGAGACATAGACATGACAACCCGAACTGACAACGTAAGACACAGACATGAAACGCATGAAGAGCAGGGGAGATTTAACATAGTTGGAAACACGAGGGGGAAATAATAAGAACTAGAAACACCTAGGCATGATAACAAATGAACTTAGGAAACCTGACGGGCTTACATAAACTAAAACTCAAAACGCTGGGTCAACAGACCCAGGATCATGACACAACTAAAGTATCAGGTGTTTATTTTGTGTAGTTTTGTAGTTGTACTGCAATGCTACAACAGTGTATTTCAAGCATTTGTAAACAACTTAATGTGTTCATCCCTTTAGCATTTCCAGCTGCTTAATCCCAGATCTGTTGTTTATAATAATATATCTTAGTTTGATATTATATAAGAGAGTACTGCACAGATGTGTGATGAGGTCACACTTTAAGAGTTTGTTTCATCATTTCTTTGACCACCAGCATCTCTGATTGAATCTGTTTTTTCATGGAGAGACTAACTGTAAAAGTTGTCTCTTTCATGCCTGCAGATAAATGTCAGTACGGTGCTAAACTGAAGGCAAGCAGTTAATTTGTGTTTCTGTTTGTGTGTTCATCTCAGTTTCCCAGCATGCCCTGGCTCTGGTGGTGGAGGTGAATGAGGGGGAAGACTATGTCCTGCTGCCCTGTCGGTACTCCAGTATTATACCTGAGACAAATCCCACTGTGACGTGGACTCGCAATGATCTTGATCTGAAATCTATTCACCTACGACGAGAACGAGGAGATGATCTTACAGGACAAAACCAGCGTTACAGCAGACGCACATCAATGAGGTCTGACGCTCTGGACACTGGAGACTTCAGCCTCCGTCTGAGAAAACCAGAAGTATATGACAGCGGCAACTACACCTGCACCCTCAGTTATGGAAACCATGGAGTAGAACGTAGACTGACAGACATAGAGCTGGAGGTCAAAGGTCAGCAACTAACCTTGATTGATTAGTTTAAAAAATTTGCCTACTTGCATAAACATTCCAGTTATTGGTCTTTTCCGGGTAAAATGAAGTGGCAAACCGTCCTGGCTTTATGAATATGAGCTACAAGCATACTTTGATGGGCAAAGTTTTACCAAAGTAGAATGTCAGAACACCGGCATTGAACAAAACATTCATTCTCCTATACTGGCACCTTGTCTGAGACAATAATCCTAGATAAGCTAGCCGCATGTTGCTGGCTCTTTAGCACAGTTTGAAAACCCTGATATGTTTTTCTCACCCGTTAGTTCATTAGGAGGGTGCAAGGTTTGTTTCATCTGAGTGCTCGATTTAGCATGAAAAAAAATTTTAAAAAATGTCAAATGAGTGATTTTGTATTATTTTTTGCTGTGACTGAACATGTAAAAGTATCTGTGCACCACTCCACCAGGCTCAGCACACTATCAACTGATAATGGCCACACAAAGGATGTTTAAATACTTTATTAACACTACTGGAAGGATAGAGTCAGAGGAGAGGAATGTAAATACAGTGGAACCCCGACTTACGAAATTAATTTGTTCCCGACGGTCTTTCGTAAGTCGAAATTTTCGTAAGTCGAAGCACCCATCACGCCTTTTGAGTGAATGATAGGCTATAGGCTAATTGCTAACTGCAACAACAATACGTTGTTCAAGTGGAACAGCGAAGCGCAAGTACGAAAGCAAAGGGGGTTGTCACGTCATTTGGAAGGCATTGTGGGCATTGTAGGCATTCAGCCAATCAGAGCCAGCAGATTTCGTTACGCGGGCATTTTGCCGTAACATGGGCAGAAATATTGCCGTTAAGTGCCTTTGTAACTTGAATTTTTCGTTAAATGGGGTATTAGTAAGTCGGGGTTCCACTGTACTAGGATAACAGTGTAGTTCACTGTTGTGGTAATGGCTGCTGCTTCTATATGTGATCATTTTTTGTTCCTTGTCCTCTCAGACCAGCAGGTGATTGTGAAGGTGGTAGAAGGATCGGAGTCTGCCATCTTGCCCTGCAAAACGACAGCTGACCTCTCACAGGATGCCACGGTTGAGTGGACTCGCTCTGATGTAGACTTTATGTTGGTCCATGTGTATTCAAAGACACGTAACACCATCAGGGAACAGGATGGCTTTTACAGAGTCCGAACGATGATGAATGAAGACCCACTGAGAACAGGAGACCTCAGTCTGACCCTGAAATACCCCACAGATGGAGACAGTGGAGGATACGTTTGCACCATCTACAGGGACAAAGACATCCTTAGACAGAAAGTAGTGCTGCAGGTCAAAGGTCAGTGTAGTAAATGCAGGTCAAAGGTTGCTGCTACAAGTAAGAGCATAAGAGTTCAATTTCCTATTTTATTGTTTCTTCTTAGAACGATCTTGGGCCAAAGTTCTAGTGGCACTTCTGGTTCTCCTGGTTCTTGTTGTGGTTTCTGGAGGTCTTTTATTTCATTTCCGGCACTATTTCATGTCAGGTGAGTGTCTCCTACTACACTACCCATAATGCCGATGGTCAGCAGGTGTCCTCTGGTGGCTCCTTGACTGCGGCTCACACAAACTTGTTCCAGAAGCTGAAAGAGTTGAGAGTTACAAACAGCTGATACAGAGAGCTGAAGAGAAACTTCCAGGTTTGTTCCAGAAGTCAGAAAACCTCCTTCAGACTCATGTTGTGCTTTGTTGTCCTGACTTTACTCGTGGTGT